GTGTTTGCATGGCTTTATGCAAAGACCTGTTGGCCAAGTGCTCACTGGGAGGGAGCCAGCACTGCTCTCACCCTGCTTTGCTGCTCAGGGAAGGGAGGAGATGCTCCAAGGGGCATCGCAGGGAGTTGGGACCAGCACTGGGATGTGAATCCCAGCCCAGGATGCCTGGTTCCCTGCTTTACCTGAGGTACCCAAGGGCATCCTGCACCCACTGTCAGCTCCTGTCACCACTCAGCACCAGCAGCTGAGTGAGCAGAGACAGGCACTGACAGCTTTTTCCCATGCTGGAAAGTCACACGGGCATCCAGCTCCCTCTGAGGAGGTCGCTTAGTCTGCACCTCTCTGGTCCCCTTGGTTAACCTGCTACCAAAAGCAGTCTTAAGCAAAGGTCTCATGCCTGCATCCTCCCCTGAGAGCGCCCAGCCATGGGTCTGCACCCCAGTGCCTTGCTCCTCTCCCTGGCAGCTATCAGAAGGCTTCCTGCCCACAACCTCTGGCTCCCCTCCTGTCTGGGGCTTCGGGGAGAGATGGAGATGGGAGAAGGAAGACCAGGAGTTGTGGGGAAGGCGGTGAGGCTTGTGCTGAGGTCTCGCATCAGTGAAATGCAGTGGCAGGAGGGTTCCCCTCTCCTCAGGACAGATGGGTCATCACAGGCTTCTGCAAGGCACCAGAGGGAGAAACCTCAGCTCGCTTCTGTGCCCACACCACACCAGGCAACTCTTCTTGCTGCCCCTCTATGGAGAGAGGACCTGCCCCCTGCCATGGGCCACTCAGGCAGTGGGAACTCAAAGGTTTTGTTTGGTGTCCCCCCACCAGGGCTCAGGACATCCCAGACCTGGGGTGGGAGCCAGGCATGCCTGCCACCACGGGCCAATACCCAGAGCTGAGGCCTCCACCGGCTCAAGGAGAGCACGGGAGGGACAGATTCCCCTGTGCAAGTGCTGGGAGGCAAGTCCCATGTGCAGCCCAGGCCAGCAGCCCTCCTGGGTGCCTTGGTTCATACCGCAAAGAGCCTCTCCACTCTTCTGTTCTTGCCGTTGGGGTTCCTCTGCGTCAGGGAGCCACGGTAAACAGAGTTGCGGTCAAAGGAGTCCTCGAGACCTGCAGTGAAAGAAGAGGGATGGATAGGCAGGAGGTCCTCACCCACCTCACTAAAGGTTTTGGTTACCCGCCAAGTCACCGGGGTTTTACTATCCCCTGCTGGCTGTGGCTTTGGATGCATCATTGCACTTCCCTCTCCAGGAGGGTGGTAGGGAGCCCTTTCACAGTAGGGAAACAAAAGCTGCTGCTACTGAGGTTCCCAGAGCACTGTGTGAGCTGGACCAGCCTGACAGTGGTCAGCTGCCAAGACCTAGTTCTCTGGAAACCTCCATGGATGGCAAAAGCCCAGCACACGTGGAGCTCTCACCACCCAAGCCTACGACACTCTCTTGACCTACCTACTAAGTCATTTTCTCTGACACCAACTTGCACCAGCTGCACTTCTTCAAACCCAACTTTGCAAGTCACTGACCACAGAGAGGGTGATCAGGAGACCATATCACCCCATCGCCCAGCCCAGGCAGAGGGGATCAGGCTCGCCTGGTGACATCCATCCTAATTGCACATCTATCTCTTTGCGGGGCTGACATGTCACCCAGGCTGCCTTTATCTGCCTGTCCTTTGCAGGAAGGAGAGCAGCTGACTCCTCTTCAGCATGAGAAGGATGGACCTTTCCACCTACCAGCCTCAGCCTGGGAAATAGCACTGTTAATTGTCTGCATGCATGGGGAAAATGCGATTCATCCTCTGCATTAAATGATCTTTCCTCTTTTCATCTTCCATTATCTGGAAAGAGACCCACTCTTTCTGTCTTTAAGCTTACGAGGCAAGATAAGAGAGAAAAAGAAAAGTCATTTCCTCACGGGTCTCACTGGTATGGGTCAGGATGCAACATTTCCAGTGGCTGCCCCTCACCACACAAGCTGCTGCACCAAGTTTCAGGTCACCGGCTACTCTGAAGTGCTCCCAAGCTGCCGTTTGTCATAGCTGGGATGTGAAAGGTGTCTTGCCCCCCACCAGACACCAGTGGATGCGGCAGGTGGGTAACAGGGTCAAGGGTACCTTCTCCAAGATGACCAAACAGGGAAGAGATGATGGGCTTCGGTGAGGCTTTGAGGTCTTACAGCCAATGGGATGCCACAGATGGAGTCTCCCTGGACTCTGGGGTGGCAGGAGGCCAGGCTGTATAGAAAGTCCTGGCTCTTGGAGGACTGAGCCAACTCAGAGCCTGGCCTCCGCTCTCCCATCACCGTCCCTGCTCCTGCCAGTTGCCGTTTCCTTTCTAAACGGTCCACCACAGGTTTCCCTGTGGCTGTTCTAACAGGAGGCCATGAGCACAGGGAAGAGGATCCCCCAGTGCTGGGGAATGCAGAGAGAGGACCGAGCACGCCCCAAAACCCAGCCCCTCCACCCGCAGTCCCCCAACTCCCATGGGCAGAGCCTCGGTCCTTACCAGTGATGTCGAGGGGACTGTTGAACTTCCTCCTGAACCCCTGCAGCCCAGGCATCGCCTGCAAGAGAAGGGGAGCAGTGTGCTGTGGGCGATGGGGTGGGGGGACAGAGGTCCCCCTGAGGCTACCACTTTGAAAGCAGCTCCCTGGGTGCCCTGGCTGTCCGCAGGTCGCTGCGGAGCCGCACGCACCAGCCGGCACGGGGTAAAACACCACGCGAAGGCTGCCGGGGACCGCTGCTTGTGGGACCAGCAGAGCGGAGGCAGGCAGCCTGCGGGCAGAGGAAGGGCAGGGGCTCTCTCTGGGTGCACAGGGCAGACAACTTGCTCCGCTTTCCTTTGCATCTTCACCTCTTTTATTTCGCCTGGGCTCGTCCCAAGGTGAGCAAAGGAGGCAGAGCACTGCCACAGCCCTGCGTGCTCTGCCTGCAACCCCGGGAAGAGCACCAGCCCCCAGATACAAACCCCTCCCTTGATGCATATAGGGAACCAGCGTTGCTCCCCATCCTTAGTGAGACATCTGCTCTCGGAGCCTTGGGGCAGAGAACCAGGCAGCAGAGGGAGCCGGGCTCAGCCAGCCAGGCAGCCCTTGAGGCAGAGCACTGCCACAGCCCTGCGTGCTCTGCCTGCAACCCCGGGAAGAGCACCAGCCCCCAGATACAAACCCCTCCCTTGATGCATATAGGGAACCAGCGTTGCTCCCCATCCTTAGTGAGACATCTGCTCTCGGAGCCTTGGGGCAGAGAACCAGGCAGCAGAGGGAGCCGGGCTCAGCCAGCCAGGCAGCCCTTCAGCATCTCAGGGGTGGGATGTCTCATACCCCCCCCTCCCTGCTCACCTGCCCATTTGACTTCTTCCTGGCCTTTTCCACTGACTTCACTGTCAGCCCCGCAGCTGACAGAGCCGCAATCCGAGATTCGATGTCCGAAACCTTTAGAAGAGGGAAAAAACCAGACGGATGCTGGTTCCATCACCGGACTCCTTTGCTGTCACTGGCTGGGCAAAGTAGCTCTCAGCCACATCCTCACCTCGTTCTCTGCCTGTTGCACCCGAGCAGCTGCTGAGGCCACTTTATCCTCCAGCTCTGACAGCTCCGAGTCAGTCGTGCTGCTGTGCTGAGCCCCTTCTTCAAGCTCTTTCAGGGTGTTCTCAAGCTGGAAGGTCTTCCCAGCCGTCAGATACACCTGAAAAGGGAGAAAACCCAACCAAACCCATACCCATTGCAGATTAACCTCTCTGCAGCTCTCAGCATCTCTGCAGCCCCAGATGCAACAGCTCCTGCCACTATTTTATGACTGCTTTCTTGCCTTGCAGCACAGACAGTACCAGTCAGCTCTGGCAGGGTTTTAATCTCATTTCCTCTCTTCCCCAGGCTTTTAAAGAGCAATTATCCACCAGGCAAAGTGGTAAAATGCTCAATGGGAACACAGGAAGGACCAAAACTCAGTGACCTACTCGTGCTTCAGCATCTTTACGCCATGTGCTCAGAGGGCAGGCAAGTACCTGCACAGCAGGGCAGGCTGCCACGTCCCATGGTGTCAGTGAGCTGGGAAGTCGACACACTGACTTTCAGTCTTTTTTAGGGCTGTCTGTGCTGCTGGGTGCCTGGGAGCAGGGTCAGGGTGTGGGAGTTTGGCCCCGGGCCGTTGCCCAACCTGCGAAGAGCAGTTTTGCTCAGGAACTGCTCTAAACATACAGGAATGCTCCCAGCCAAGAGCCCCAGCAAACACGCGTGTAAACAGAGCCCAGCGCAGCCACGGGGCTGCTGCCTGGGGGCACGGTGGCAATGGGAAGCACGGGCTACCTCTGCTGCCTAGCTAGGAAGGGTGAAAGGACTTATCCCAATAAACCCGCAGGCTTTGCTGTCACTTGCCTCCTCCTGGGCTACCACAAGGATGCAAGTCCAAGCGAGGCAATTCAGGCAAACAGTGTGTTTGTATGCGGTCACAGAAGGTGATTAGATGGGCTGTGGCCCCTGTTTTGCTGGCCGAATCCCAAGCTCGGTACTGCTGGTGCAAGTCCTGCTCCTCCAACCCTCACTGCTTTTTCTGGGCTGGGTATTGCTCAAGACTGCCTGGCAAGAGCCCTGGCACACCCTGAAGGACCAAGCATCCACGCAACTCACACCAGCATGTCCCATAGGTCTCTCCCATGCCGGTGCAAGCCCCGAGGTCATAACAGATTGGAGACGTTTATGGGTGCTATGTGTGAAGCAGCTCAACCTGTGAGTCACAGGGACATCACAGTTTGTCGTTGGGCCATCAAACTGCCTCCATGCCCCCTGAGGTGGCATGTTCTGGGAGCAGAGCCGTGACTCAGCCAGGGCCGGGAGGGAATGGCAGGGCAAA